CCCCAACATGGCCACAGTCACCCCCAGGTTCTCTGTAAGAAGAGTAACAGGTGAGCTGCTCTCCCCAGCCCACCCTGACCCCCTCTCTCGCCCCAGGCTTCCTTTTCTCTAGTAATGATGAGCCTTCCCACTCCCAGGATGAGGAGAACCCGGTATCCAAAGATTTCTTTCATCTCAGAAGCCAAGAATCTGGCCTTGAATGCTCCCCCCACCCCCGTCCCAGGCTCCCTAAGTTTGCCCTCCTCTCACTCTGATGCCCTCCCCACCACAACCCTGAGGCCCGGGTGCTCACGAAGCTCGTGGCTGCCCATGCCCTTGAGCACTGCCTGGCGCCCTGTACTCTCCAGGACACTCTGCACCTCCTGGCTGGGCAAGGTGGTGGTCACCAGGACACTCTGATTCTCCAGGTGCACCTCCACTCCCTGGACACCTGTGAGAACAAAGGAGGAGGAGGAAGAGACAGCAACAAAGGGGAGAAAAGGAGATGACCCAGGCCTCCTGCACCAAAATCCAGCTGATTCCACAGCAGCCCCTCTGGAGCACTCATGTGTGTCCCAAGGGGTCACAGCGGAGGCAGGACCCACGTTTCAACAGAAGCCTTCGACAGACACCTAGCCTTTGACGCCAACACAGCCCGCAACCCCGAGCGGGCCCCTGGGCCAGGGGTGCGCCCTCCTTCCCAGGATAACAGTTGGCCTTACTCAGGCCTGCTGCACCCTGGTCTAAGGCAGGGTTCTTAACCTGGGGCCCACAGACCTGTGGACAGATTTCAGGGGCTTGGATAGAGAAAACCAAAGCAAACCAGGCTCTCTATCTTTCTTTTACTAACCTCTATGTGACATTTAGCATTTCCTTCACCTACTTGAAAACATGATTTTGAGAAGGGATCCACTAGCTTCACCAGACAGACTGCCCAAAGGGTCCTGGACCCCACCATGGTAACGAGCCTGGCTCTAAAAGGACGATGAGGCTGGCAGGAGAGAATCACCTCCACCCCGATGAAGAGTAGCCCAGTGTGGCAGATGGGGGAGGGGGAGCAGGCCCAAGACCTGGATTCAAATCCTGCTTCAGCCTCTTAGGACCTTAGGCAGGGAGCAACCTCTGTGGCCTTCACTTTGGTGGAAACAGAATCTAAGGGTCAAAGGCATGCACGCATCTGGGCTGCAGTGGCCTGCACCTTCCACTTTGGGCCAGCTCTGATTGTTTGGATGTGAGAACGGGCTTCGAGGATTTGAAGGGTTGCGGTACACAGGCTCTGCCTGCCCCAAAGGAGCCATGGATGGCGAGAAGAGGCAGACATGGCTTGGAAAAGGTAAAAGTGTCCTCTGATGTCCTGCAGAGCAAGGCTAGCCCCTCCTTCCTGGATCCCTCCTTCAAATACTTGACAATGTGGCCCCCTCCGTGGTCTCTTTTCCAGCCTCAGCAGTCCCAACTCCTTTGACCAATCCTCAAGGCCTTTCTCCACCCCGCGTGCCTTCCTTTGGACACTTCAGCTTATCCATGGGTGGAACACTGGGCAGCCCAGATGTGGTCTGACGGGGGCCAAGGACAGGGGGCTATGGCCTCTTTTTCTTTTTTTTTTTTGGTCTATGTTTTCTTTCACAACGTGACTAACATGGAAATGCTTTTTTTTGTTTGTTTTTTGGTGAGGCAAGTGACTTGCCCAGGGTCACACAGCTAGTAAGTATCAAATGTCTGAGGCCAGATTTCAACTCAGGTCCTCCTGACTCCATGGCTGGAGCTCTATCCACTGCGTCACCTAGCTGCCCCCACTACAGCCTCTCTTAAAGCAAGCTAAGAATGCCCCAGCCTTGCGGGCTGTTCCATCACACCACAGGACTGAACCAAGCTGAGCTACCCACATACAAAGCTAACGTAGTTGTTACAAGCTCTTTTCTCATGTCCCTTTATTCAGTGCTCATGACAAACCCTGGGAGTGGAATGCTGGGAGAGTCCCTGGCCAGGGCCACCCAGGTTACCCTGAGAAAACCACTTTGGACGACTCAAGAATGTTGATCAATGCAAAGGGGTGCCTCCTGACACCGAGGAGGAGGCATTTTTCAGCCTGCGCCAACGGCTGGGGCTGCGGGCTTAATTATACTTACTGGTTACTAGGGAGAGATTAAAAACGGTTTCTGAATGGGAGTAGTATTGATGCTGCAGCCATACCCATACAAAGGTTTTTTAAGAAAGAATGAAAGCCTAATGAAGCATTTTTTTTTTAATGCCCAGAAGAGAACAGAAAGGAAGGGAAAAACAGACAAGCGGGAAAGCTTTGGAAGTCACGGGGCTGCTTTAAATTCAGACTTAAAGAGATCTACCCAGCTGTATGTACTTCTCTGTAGCGGGAAATGCTCATATCTGTAGGTACCTGTCAAGCCCAGAAGAGCAAAAACTATTCTGAAATTTATTTTTAAAACGACGTGTCTGAGCCAGGCTTACAAGCCGGCCTTCAGAGCCTTGTCTCCCCACCAGGCCATCCTGCTTTTCAGACAGTTGACCATGACCATCTCATTATCTTGCCAGGCCTTCTTCATCCTGAATCTGTGTCGCTTTGCTTTTTGGAGGCCGAGTATGGGGTTGGCCTGCTAGATTCAACCCAATGCTCCCAGAGCCTCGTGGCTCCAACTGTGGCATCCAGTGCATGGGCTCACACCCCAGGGTCATCTATCAGTACATTTGCTTGGCCGACCATCTGTGCTTTTATTTTAGTCCTTGATAAGAAATGCTGAAGGGCCCCAGGTCACACTCCTCTCCAAAGTGGCATCCAATCATTGATGACTACTCTGGGCATCCAGCCACGGAGCTGGGTCCAGAACCACCAGGACTAAACAGGAAAGAAGGCGAGTTGTGCTGGGAGAGGGAGGGCGGGAGGGCGAGAGGCATGAAAGCAGGAGAACGGTGCTGAGGCCAGCCCAGGGGGCCAAGGAGGGGCCAGCTGCCAGAACCCTGACTTGGAGGGGCTCCCCTTTCCAACAGACCCCGAGGGGCCACACAGGCGGTCTCCTCTTTCTTCCTTTCAGACTCTGGGGAGCCTCATGAGCCTGCAGGATTGCGCAGGGGGGTGGAGCAGAGCAGAAGCTAAGGGATAGGCTTGGGGGTTCATCTTTTCCTGGCGTCCTGGGGAAGCCCTCATGGAGGGGCCAGGAGAGGCCCACTCGTTTCATGTTCCTGACCTGGTCCCCTGTAGCATGAGGACAAGCCTGGGAGGCTACTGTCTTTTTGTGACTGGGGGAGGGGTGCTGTGGTTCAGCCAATGGGACTCTGAGCTAAAAATCAGGCTGGTGACACTAACTGTTTGGCCAGGGCAGGCCCTTCCCCCCTGCTTAGGGCCTCAGTTTCCTCTTCGGCACAATGAGAGACTGTTACAAAATTAAACCGTAGGATGCTCGTTCCTAGCCTCCCTGGCCTTGTTTTCCTCCAAAGATCTCACCAGGATGTGGCGAGATTATTTTTACAATTCCAGCTGTCATCTAGGGAAGGATCTCCTGGTTAGGAGAATCCTCCCTCAAAGCAGGCCAGGCTAGCATCTGGTCCGCAGTTTCCGGTCTTACAGTGCAGCCTGGGAAGGCCTTGAAGGCCAGAAGGTACGGGAGCTGAAAGGAGCCCAGGATGACCCGGCCCCCCCCCCCTTCAATTCAACCAATATTTATTAAGCACTTACTAAATCCAGCCCTGCCCTTAAATCTATTTATCTGGGTACAAAAGAAATGTAAATTGAATAAGGAGGTGGGGCATCAAGGAATCCCAGGACAATGGGGCAGTTGGGCTGAATCTTGAAGGCACAAAATGATTTCAAGAGACAGAGACAGAAGGGAAGGCATTCCAGGCAGGGGAGACAGCCAGTGCAAAGGTATGGAGGGAGGGAGATGGAGAAGCAGCAAGAAGGCCATTTGGCTAGAACACAGACTATGGAGCAAAAAGGTCCAGCCAATTAGGTTGGCAGAGCTAGGGTGCCAGGACTTTCAATGCCAAAAAGGAGCTGAGGCTGCCTTAAAGGGGAGAGGGGGAGAGAGAGAGCGAGAGCAAGCACGCATGAACCAGAGGAGAGAGGATGGACTGCAGAGGGGCAAGGCTGGAAAAAGAGACCACTAGTCCAGGGAGGTGGTGAGGCCTGAAGCAGGGGGGTTGGGGAGGGAACAGAAGGGGAGACCCATTGTTTAAGCGTCTGCCACGGGCCAGGAATCGGAAAGGCTTTGTAAAGGGAGGTGAAGCCTGAGCTGCACCCTGAAACAACAGCCGGAATGCAAGCCGCAGAGGTGAGTGGGGATGACAGTCCTCGAGGGGGGCATGGGGAGGGGGCTTAGGAACCTCAGCGAGTGAGATGGGAATGCGCCCACATCCAGCAGGTTGTTGGACATGGGCTGGAGAGAGGCAGCCCAGAGGCATCGAACAGACGGGACAGTGGAGGCAGCTGATCAGATCTGCCAGAGGGAACCTAAGGAAAAGAAGGGCAGAGCCGTGCAGGAAGATGCAGCAAAGACGGGAAGGCTGGGCGGGCCACACAAGGGCATGGGGTCAAGAGGGAGGGCAGCGATGGCAGAGTGCAGGTCTGCAAAAAGGCCAAGGTGAAGAAGCGGCCAGAAACCCTTCGCAGCCCCAGACCTGGAAGCTGCCTCGAGGCCATCGGGCCGCTCCAGCGCACTTTCACAGATGGGGAAACTGAGGCTCGGAGAAGGCAGGAGGCGGAGGGAAGGGATTCGAACCCAAGTCCTCAGTCTCCAAACCCGGGCCTCGCTCTCTTACCTGCCACGCCACGCAGGGATGTCTGCACCGAGTCCACGCAGCTCTGGCAGCTCATTTGCACAGCAAACTCCAGCTGTGGGAGACAGTGCTACGCTGGTGGGGCGGAGCTATGCCAGAGGGCGGAGCTACGCTGATGAGGGGCGGGGTCATGTTGAACAGGGAGGCAGGAGCGGAAGGGCGGGGCTGTGCCGTTGGGGCGGGGACAGAAGCGAGAGGTGTGACTATGCCAAATAGGGGCGGTGCTTCCCAACCCACGTGACTCGCTGCTCTCGCTGCTCGGTAGCTACTCGAACCGGCCCTTCCCCCCCCCCACACACACACAGGGGCCCCCCCAGAGTGAGCACCCCAGCCAGCGCGGCCGACCACTCCGTCCTCTCTACCGAGATCCCCTTGCCCCCTCACCGTGCATGCTGTCTTGCTGTCCCCGGCCTGCGCAGGCGCAGCCGCACCTACAGCAGAAGCCATCCTCAACCTTCCAAAGCCAGTACGACTCTCCCAGTGGCGCAGGAAGCCGACTGGTAGGGCGGGGCCGTGAGACCTTTGGCCCCTTTTACGTGTCCACAGGCGGTCTTAGACTCCGCCCTCTCCCCGACTCAGGACTTCAGTTAGCCACTCACCAGGCAGATTGGCAGAAAGGAGGCGGAGTCACGAGACTTTGCGTTCCTCACCCCCACCCCGACCCGTCGCTGTCCGGACTCCGCCTCTTTCTTCCTCCGGACCAATCACCAATCAGAAGAGTCCAGAGGGGGCGGTCTCACGAGACCTTACGTTCTCCAGCTCCCGGATCACAGGTTCATCCCTCCCGCCCGTCTTCTCCACCGCGTGTGGTCATTGGCTAGGCTCGAGAGCCCGGCGTTCTGCCCCGGTCTGTCTCCATAGCGACGCGTCCAGGCGTCTTAAAGGCGCCAAACAAAGCAGCCCCGGTGCTGGCTCTCAGGTGTGACAGTCCATGCGTCGGGGGTCTGAGGTCCCGGTGCCAGGTGCTCGGGGGTCAAGCAGCAGCCGCAGCAATGGAGTGCAGGAAGAATGGACCGGAGCGAAGGAAGCGGCAGCGGCCGCCGTCGGACAGGACGGCGGACCCGGAGCTCCGGAAGCTGTACCATCGGCTTTTGCAGCCACTGTCGCTGTTCCCGGGCGAGGAGGCACGGATCTCGGTGACCCCCGAGCCTCTGCCCACGTCTCCGCAGACCAAGAGTGACACCCGAGTTGGCCGGGACTCCTACTTCGTGGAGCAGCTGTCTCCGGGCTCGCTGTGCTTGCTAGTGTCGGAGCGGCTGTCCCGCGTGGGCCACGCGCCCAAGGTGCCCCCCGAGGGCCGGAGGCGGCTGGCCGAGGTCATCCTGTCAGAGTTGCAGTACGGCTGGCAGATACCGCCGCCCGAGCCGGGCCTCAACCCGCGGGACCAGCAGGAACTGCGCCAGCGCGTGAAGACTCACGTGGTGCTGACCTCGGAGCAGCTCTTCCTGCGTTACCTGCACCTGCTGATCACCCTGTCGGTGCCCGAGTCCGTGTTCACCGAGCCCGCCACGCTCACGCGCCTGTCTGCCTGCCTGGCCACCGACTGCTCCCGCTTCCTCACCAGCCCCGTCGTCTACCGCCGCCTGGTGTCCGACTTCAAAGACCTGCAGGGCCTCTGCCGCTTCCTGAAGAAGGGCACGGGGGCCGTCAAGCCAGACCATTTCCGCAAGCAGGCCCTCATTCCACAGCAAACCATCGGCACCTTCCAGGCATCCAAGCTCTGCCCTCTGCCCTGGCCTCACAGCACAGGCTTCTCCCAGATCCCGTGCTCCACCCTGAGCTTGAGTTACTTGATTCATTTGAGCCGGCCGGCAGACTTCCTAGGCAGCCCCTGTCTGGACCGTTTAAAGGGGCTGCGGTCCATCCCGGACCTGGACCAGAGAAAGTACCTGCGCTGGCTGCCCACTGTAGCGCCCACGCCCCCCAAGGCGCTGGAGGTTGGCCATGCCCGGAAGGCTGACCTCTCGAGGATTTTGAGCTTGGCTGGAAATCTGGATCTGAAGACCTTCCTGCGGCTCCATAACCCCAGGAAGTGCCGCTCTTTGCCCAATCTCAGAGAAGGTTGGAAGCTTTCAAATGAACTGGGCATATGTTCACCTCCTCCTCGAACTTTGACCCCACTGATCCTAGGGTGGGAGACCCAAACGGAGGCCTTCGTTGGCTCAGCTTCAGAGGACCTCAAGCACATGATGAAGAACTTGAAGGTGGAGCTGTCCAGGAAGCCCCCGCAGAGCTCAACCCTGCCCCCTCTCCTGGGAGCCCTGACCCGGTGCCCAAAAGGCAACCACCGAGTAGAAGAGCTGCAGAGGACCCTGAAGACCCTCCAAGAAGAAGAAGCCTCAGGAAAGTGGGAGCACAAGCCCAGCCTGGGGGCCGCTCTGCATCCTCAGACAGTTACGGTGGCCCTGACGCTGAAGGACCAGATGGTGCTGCAGGCTGCAGCTGTCCGAGTCTCAGAGCGGACCTTCCACGACAGCTTCTTTGTGAAGGAGGAAAATGTCCTCTATAACCACCTGTCAGGGGAGTTGGACAGCAGAATCTTGGAAGACCTGGACGCCGTCCTCTTTGCTGGGGCTAGCATCCAGGGGATCTACAATGAGCTTCTGAGTCAAGTCTCTGCCGACTACCTGCTCTTTGATAGGGGGCCCCTTGTGGAGCCCACGTCAGAAAAGGACTGGTCAAGCCTCATGTCCTCAACCTTCCTGTACAGAGATCCCAAGTATCGGGTCATCAACCCTGTCCTGGATGGCATTGGAAGGCACAGAATCCATTCCAGAAGCTTCAATCCACTTCCCCCACCGCCGACTCCCCAGCCGCCTAAGCAGTGGGTCAAAAGTAAGGCCTCCTGGATGCGCTGGTGGAGAGCCACGCTGACCCCAGATGACTACTTCCTGTACCTGGCCACTCAGGACTGTGACTTCCTCCATGTGATCTTCCACATGTACCCAGAAGAGGAACCCATCCATCTTCCTATCGTCATCAAAGACACCCTGGAACTTCCGCCCCTGCCTCCACTGGCACAGGAGGAGGAGGCCGGAGAGTTTGTGCCAGGTATCTGGGATGCCAACTCAGTCCTAGAGGATGGCCTGGGAGCTGAAGGGAGCAAATCCCTGGGGGACCCCAGGAAAGTGAAGCTGCTCCAGAGACGACTGGAGAGAATCTGGACAGCCCTGCAGGTGCCGGACAAAGATCGACTGGACATGGCTATCAAGTACAGCACCAACGCCCGTATGGGGCATCTCCCTGCCCTGGTGACTGCCTGGGAGAAGGCCTTGCAGCCCATCCAGGAGCGAGAGCTCTTGTTAGCCCAGCTGGAACGCTTCGAACAAGAGGCCTCTGACCCCAATCGCTTCTTCCTGAAGGTCGATTATGACCTCTGGCGCTGGACAGAAGAGTCCCAGATCCGAAGCCACTTGTATGAGAAGATCAGAAGAGTGGAGGCCTTGCTGACCAAGCTCCTGCAGGACATCCAGATTGCCTTTGGGGAGTCGGTGACGTACAAGGGGCGCTGCTATCTGGAGAAGATGAAGAGGGACAAAGTGGAGATGTTGTACTGGCTGCAGCAGGAACGGCGAGCCAAGAAGCTGGTCCGGGTCCAAAAGGGCTCACGACTGCCTTCTCTTAACCCTGAAAACACAGGAAACTCAGAAAATGGCCTCATTCCCTCTCCCAGAAACGTCTAAACAGCAAACATTGCCCCCTTCTCCACTCTCTGTCCCCATTTGTCCCCAAAATGAATCAGCCCGGTGATAGACTATCTAAGAAATCCAGGCCCCGGGGTGGGGGGCAGGGGGAAGGAAGGGGACTAGGAACATATGATTTCTAATTAGGGAGATCTTGGTTGAGTTCCTATTTTGTTATAATAGATACCGTAGCCATAGGATGAAAATTGCTGTTTTACAAAACGCTCTGCGGGCCCCAAGTTGACCAGCTAAATTCAAGTCCTACTCAATCAATATGGCCAAGTTCTGGTACATCAGAATAATTGGGTCTGAACCTTAGTGTTTGGTGAAATGAGATTTGCCAGGTAAAACAAAAGAGAGGGGACCTGTTTAGCAATTCAGTCTACTCCAATTCTAAGGGATGGTTGGTTTGAGTCTAGATTAAAAAAAAAAAAGCTCTCTCTCAGGTCTGGCTTAGTCAGCAGTTACAGAAGGCCATGGCTGGCTGATAGGGTGGGATTTGGCCCCATCCTACTCCCACATCTCCAGACTGTTGTTGATAGCTGAATACCATTGCTAGAGCTGTATTTCTTTCTCTTGGCCCTGTTAAGAGTGGAGCCGACACCATCAGTGAACCCAAAGGTACAATGGAGCATCTTGAACCTTTGCTGGCAGTGGGTTTGGATAGGGAAGAATCTGGAGGAGGAGAATGTGTGCATTGCCCTGGGTACCAGTGGGGCTTGGGCCCTGATGGGTTGGGGTGGAACAACTTAGTTAGCTTTTACAGTTTTGCCTCAGGTATAGACCCTGACCTTTTTCCTCAAAGAGGCTGAACTCTACTAGAGGAATCCATTGAGGCTTTTTGGGATTACAGAAGTCTGAGGAAATCTTTCACAGATCTAGATCCTCAGTTTCCCTACTTCTGTCCCCCATGGCTGGGTTTAGAGAAGGTCCAGCAATCCAAGTTATGATACTCAGCCAGTTACACATCTACCAGGGACCCTGTGCCCCAGCCCAAGGGAATTTTTTTTTTTTAATCAGAGAAAGTTTCTTAGAGGAGGTAGCATCTGAACGAGGCTGTTAGCGATGAGGAAGGAGGTTCACTGACCACCTGAGCCAGAATTTGGAAGGGAGAGAAGGAATATGCTTTCATCCTAGCTCCTTTCCACTAAGCCCTGGGATCTCTCCGCTTGGTTCCTTTTGGACAGTATGACCCAGTCTCCCCAGTATGGACTACCTCATCCCCAGTTTGATTGTGAGCCCTATAGGAGTAAGCGGACAAGTCATAAACGGAAAGATTTACGTTTTCTTGATGATTTCAACAAGATAAAATGATGCAGTCATACAATCAACCCTGAACATCTGAGGTTTGATTTTCCGAGATCGTCTAATTTTAACATTTGTCCACTGGTCAAAGTTATACATACAAACACATTTCAAACATGTAAAATATATGTGTGTGTGTGTGTCTATATGTGTATACGTGTGTAATGGGCATTTGTATGTGTATATTGTTGCTTGTCCTTCATTCCTTGAAGAAGACCATGACATCAGGGAGATGATGCCATGACACGCGAATGAATTAGATTTAAGTGAGGGAGCGCTGTGCAAAGTCACCAGCCTCACTTTCTCCTGGAGCCATCTGGGTCCAGTGGCAAGATATAGAGCGGGACAACTGGAGGTGACCCTGGATGCAGTGGGAGACCTTGGCCTTTCTGAGCTAAGGTCTTTAATAGGTCTCAGTTTGACTGGGGCACCACCCATTCAGCGATTAAGGCTAGGTAAGAAATGAGGCAGAGAAGGTCCTCTTTACCTAGTCAAAAAAAAAAAAAAGAAAAAAGAAAAGAAAAAG